ATAATTGCATAAACATAAACCAAACAACGACACTTTGTCGTTGACGTAAACAAAACTGAAGTACTCAACACGTTTCAAGTGCAACGAAATATGATCGCATTTGACTGTAGCGGGCAACGGCCAGAGCCTAGTCAGCATAACTGTCAGGCTTCGACCGTATACATAAGGTACTATGAGCATATAGCAGCAACGTTTCCGTTACTTTACATAAAGACACATTTATATATTTTAGATAATCTGCTACTCTGCTGCCGGCGAAGCAACGTGCAGCCTTAGCTAAGTCAGTTTATAAGAACTGTACGATTTATTATGGAAATAAACTTGACTTCGACCGGACGTGTCGAATTAACCAAAACAACACAAAACCCAATCTTTTAACTATTACAAAAGAAACGCTAGTTTAACTGACGAGACTTCGAGTGAAATCAGGCAGGTATCTAAGATTTTCATTGGCAACTAAACTTTTAGGCAGTAATAAAGCAAAAGTTGCGTGCAAGTACTTTATATTTGACTTTAATGTGTACGTCTAGTTAAACATTTACGATTGCAGGTTCATTTCTTTTATAAGCAAGAGCGTCAAGAATTCCTAATGAGGGAAATTTTATTTGATTATCTCGTATCGTATCTACAAGGTTAATATATGGGGACTAAAATTCTTCTGAGCCCTTGATCAAATAATTCGGCTACTCCTGGCTAACTTTTTCGAGGATACGCATTACGGCTAGATTAAATGTTAGCTCTTTCGGGCACAAGAGTTATAACGAGGATGCATGGTCGGTAATAGCACTAACCAAAAAACATATAGATAGGACAACCAGTGTAAACTTGTTGGTCACCAAAAATTGGTTTGCATCTGGTCCAACGAGCGAGTAAGATATACATATGACATCTTTTGATCGCTCCCACTACAGGAAACTGCTTTGGCTTACTCTCTTCCATATGATTTGTGCGATAGAACGGCATCGCTGTTTATTTTTATCTCGCTCGCACTTACTCTCAGTGCTCTCAATGTTCTCTTTATGTCTAGGTACCGTTTAAATGTTTGTGTGTGCATGTGGCCGCACAAGCAAAAATGCCCACAAATTCAATTTTTGTCAAAAGTCGGTGGCATTTCTTCCCTTTTGAGGGGACGAGTAATATGAAATAATGAAAGGGTTTGCCAAGTCGATGCGAAGTTCTTTCATTTTAGCTCGGTATTGCTGGAAAGGGTACCTAAGCGTTGGCATGTGTGCATTTAAAAGTTTTTGGACTTGCTATTCACGCATACTTGCATATTTTGTATATGAATATAAGCATTTATGCGCATGTGTGCCTGTTGGTCCCTGCCTGCCTGTCCGATGCAAATTTGACAATATTTTTGGATTTATGAATTTCGAGCTCTGCGCACACACACACATGGACAAATATGTGTGAATGGGCGCAAAAGAAAATATCATTTTTGGCCCGCGGTTGTCGCGCACCCTTCTTTTTATGATTTTGGGTTTGAATCGATGAATAGCATAGACTCACTCATTCAATTTTCTTCGAATTGGAAGTACCGTTAGGTAGCTTGGGCTCTAAATCGAATTGTGTTTGCATTTTGCAAAGAATTAATTGACAGAGCAATAATTGACTTTTTTTAGTTTTGACTGATTTTTTACCTTTTGTGTTTTGAAGTTTGTTATTTTTGTGCCTTATATCTAAGAAGAATACTTAGAATAATAACTATATGCAAAAAAAAGTTTAGAAAAAATAGTTTAAGTCGGTAAAATATAAGCTTAAAAATTAATTTGTGTGATGTTTTTCATTTTGCAAACAATTACTTGACAAACTGTATATGTTTTTTGGTTAGTGATAGCACTAACCAAACAACATATAGATGAGACATCTAGTACAATTGATGTGCACATTCAAAATTGCTGACATCTGGTCCAAACTCGTCTTAGTTTTTGTTCAGGTACGAGACACGCTCATTTGCTCAGAGAGCAAGCCTGTCAGATGCAAATTTAAAAGATGTAATGTTTTTGTAATTTCTGAATTTCGAGCTCTACATACAGACACACACACACAAATGTGTGTGAATTAACAAATCGGGGGCGCATAATCGAAATGATACTCCCATTATCGTGTAGTCTCTTTTACATAACTTTATAGTCAACTTTTTTTATCAGTTTATCAGCATTGACAAAAGCGAACCATATATGTATGGCAGAGACAGTATCAATCATTAATTTTATCCATGCAGAAGGAGGTGGCGCTATCTTTAGCAAGCTAATGAGAGCCGAAATATTCTCATATTAGACATTCATTGTCGTATACACTCTTTCGGCCATCTAATGCTTTCAAAAAATTGTCCTCGGTTACTTGAAATTTTCTAACAGTACCTAGAGTCTCACCAGAGAGATATGAGATAATTTTTGAACAGGCAAATAATATTGTTTTTACTCGAGTGTGTACTTTAGGAGGCCGACTGAGGGAAATAAATATTTTAATTAAACAGTTGCTCAGGCGCAATTGCACAAATATTAAGAGGTTCTAGTCGAGAATTCCCGACTAGGGGATACCCAGAACCCTCTTCTACCAGCGCCGAATGCAGCTCGCCTTACGAGCTCGTTTGCATTAGAAGTAACAAAAATAAATTAACAAAATAAAAAAAAAAAAAAAAACAAAAAAAAAACAGTTCCCCCAATAAGACTCGCACTCGTAAAATATCACACCACTTGCCACCGAGTCTACTCAACAGCCATACCAACTATTCATGGCTTACGAAAAAGACGAATTAAAATAGCAGCACACACACACAGCAGAAAATACAATACAATCGCAATTGCAATGCTGTTGATAGAATTCAACAAAGACGCGCCTGAATTAGTGTGTGTACATGTGACCAAAAATTCTTGCAAAGTGCGCTACCTGCCGGTAACACATGGCCAACCAAAACACGTTTTCTTTAATAACTTTTGTGTTTCTTAACCGACCTTGATGCAATTTTCAACAGTAGATCTTATATAACTTACGAGATTTGCTCTAAAATAAAGGATTTCGATATCGATTTTGATCGATTACTTGGAAACGAGGCAAGTTATCGATTATCGGAATATTCATATATAATTTCAAGTCTCTAGCTCTTATAAGTTCTGAGTTCCTTGCGTTCATACTCGGTTATTAATGCTGATCAAGAATATATATACTTTATGGGGTCGGAGATGATATCTTCTGCCTGTTACATACGTGTGCACAAATATATTATACCCTTTTTACCCAATTTTAATGGGTTTAGGGTATCATAAAAATGTTCAAAAAGTGATCAATTTTAGGGCATGCAAATTACAAAAATCATAAACTACCTTAAACAGTTGCCAAGAAAATAAAGCATCGGGTACATTAGCTTAACCAACCAAACCAATTTATTTTTGATCAATTTTGAGCACCTGCTATTCCGGACTTTTTACATCAGATGGTGCTTTCCCGGGCATCGTCCAAAGACAGTCACAATTTTATTTTTGAAAGGATTATAATCTGATTAAGTCCCTAACCTCATAACCAATTGCGCCTTTAACCACTTGAATTTTTTTTATATATATTTTTTTTTGCTTAAAAAGAGTTTAGTGCACCATTAAAATGTATGATTTTATATATGTTTATTTAAAATAAATTATAAATTTATTATTATGTGGCGGCTTTAAAGCAAAGTTGTACGCTTCCTGGTGACAAGTTTCATATATTTTCGACAACTGACTTCAATGCTTAAGGCTTGGTTCCACCAAAGACAATTAAAACACTTCAAACGACACGCCAGCTCACTGGCTCTTCGCTCTGCAAAAGCCCGACGAACGAATTTTTTTAGCTTTCTAGCGATGAACTTTTTTAAGTCGATGTAAATATTTATATAATTATTTTAAATTAAATCGTTTGTGTGTTTATATTATTATAAGTGTTTTCACTTTCACCTTAGGAACAGAAACAGCCCTTAAAATATATTTTCAAAAAATCAGTAAGGAACATATAAATATATTTATTTTTATTTTTATTATACTATATGTTAGTTTTACAATAAATCGTTCTCTTTAGCACACACCAATTTATTTCAACATCTTTTTACCTCTTTGGTCAGGATCGATCCAAAAACTTTTTTCCTTTTGAAACTATTTCAACTAAAGTCTCCAGTTATTAGTTTAAATGGGATTCCCATAATCTGCAAGAGTTTTAAACACATCGGAACAAGGAATCATATAGCTACCGTAAACCGTATTGTTGTAATCGTTTTGATTGTTACTATATCTATTAGCTTTTCATTGGTGTAATCGGTTGTGATTTAAGTAATTCCAAACTATCCTCTATTCCCAAAGCCTTTGGAAGCGTTTGTGTGGTCGCCACAATATTCGTTCATCAAAACAAAATTGAATCTGTATAGAAACAATTCTTGTTATTTGCCCTCCTTCATACTCCTACTTAACTAACTCACCGTAGAATTATGTTTGTAAATTGTAATGTAAATTTATAAGTCCGTATTTGACTTACCTATCCATCTAACTAAGCCCTCCATGGACCGATCCGAAATCTCTGTGATGATTACAATAATCATTACAGAATAACTTATTCGGTGTATTACATTCCTCGTATTAAATCTTTTATTCTAAACTATTTGGCAACAGATAGTCTAAGTCCATAGTCTTAGTTTTTATTCGTTTTTGTACACAAACAATAAAAATCTATAAAGCGACGTTATCAGGGTTTTTCGTGTGGAATATCTTAGGTAAATCTGAAAACAACGGTCTTATACAGACTATGTTTCAAATATCATCAATACTTGAATATCATACTTTGAATTAACATTCATTGATATATACTAGTTCAGATTGTCTCTACTGTGAGAATATTATTATATTATTTTTAATGAATATTAAATATTAATATTAAACATTGATAAAAATGCATTCCGCATACAGTGTTGAGGAATTTAAAAGTGTAAAGACCTTACAAACAAACTTACAAAATATCTTCATTTTTCTATCTAAAATTATACAGTTGCAAAACAAAGGATTGTTACGGAACTGCTTGTTACTCAGTGGTCTGCGCCGGCTGGCTCATCGGTTTCTCTGGGTGTGGTCCCATCCCTGGCCCGCAGTCCGTACAATCGATAACAACAAAACTACAACGTCTGTAGCAAAACATACCTATATAACACTATTCGATAATAACAAACAATCGAAACTTCTAACAAATGAACAACATAAACAGCTGCGACAAATAAATGTAAACAAGCAAAGGTTAGACTCTAATATAAATTAACAAAAAAAAACACTATTTATTAACTTTACTTTTCCAGATGGGGTCCCGGTTCCAGACCCAGCGTACCCGCCCTACCATGAGGCGACCTACCATGAGACGATCATTTACTCGTCTCCCTCGTTTTGGCCACCTGTCGGCCTATGTCAGCCCGTGTCGGCTGTTATGCCCCCTCTCCCCATCAAGTGAGACTTAGCCGGACATTTCTCTCTTTAATATGTGCGTATAACTGGTTGCATTCCTTATGATTATTAACAATTAATGTTTCTTATATCTTTCTAATCTATAAGGTGTCTCCATTCAGATAATTCAGTTCTCATGCACGTGAACATTTCTTCTCCAGGTGCGTATTATTGTTGCATATACTTATGATTATGGACAATGTGTCTTAATTTCTAAATTTTTTTCTTATCTTATAGAATTCATTTTTTTATTTTAACAGCACTTAATGGAACAGGCGACGAAACACTGCAAAGATATTGCTAGTCACCGCAAAAAGAGACAAGCAAGGAAGCAATTTTGAGGCAATCGTTGCGCCGACTAAGTAAACCCTCGATGCTGCCGGTAACGTCAAATGCAACAGGATTTAAATATAAAAGTGTGTATGAATGATTTTATATATCTTGACATATGTTCCACACCCACATTATTACAAACATATATTAACAAACTATATATACCATTCATGAATGCCATATCATATAAAAGTACTGAGCAATTATAAGCCAAACCCTATATTCACAGTTGTGGCAATAGTTCCATAGTCACAAAAATGCATATGCTCGTGAAATTGCAGCATAAGCAAGATCAGCAGAGAAATTGTGTCTAGAGAAAAGGATCATATTTAAGCTCGCAGCCAAGGTTTGTTAAGCGTCATCAATTCAATAATTCATTCTTATTTGGTATCAGAAAATAACATCACATATTATAAATACTTTGGCAGTTTTTATAAATACATTTTTTTTAGCACCCAATGAAAGTAGGAAAAAATCATATAACGTTTTTGTGAAAAATTTCGGTGCGGCTGTGCTGCTTATTCCTTTAGCCCCACACTATGGGCCGTGATTTAATAATATACTTATTTTCCTATCTTTATAAAATTTGTAGGGCATAAATATGGAATACAAATATGTGTAAATACTGTATTTAAATGCATTTTTTTTTTAATTTGGAAGAACGAGAGCAGGGGTATCTAACTCCGTGATATTATTTATGATTCGACTTTATCGTTCACATTCCTTTTATCGATTTGCCGGCTAGACATAGATCAACCAGGGGTGAGTAAGACCTCGATAAATGCAAGAGTTGGTTAACAAAATACTGTATATTGAAAAACGGACATACGAATTTTAGTTTCCTTTCGACCGCACGATCAACCAAACTGCAAACATGTATATGGTGAAAAGGTGTTAAGGTCCACTCTAACTAACACCCTCCCCACCATGAGTTGGCCTCATAGGCATCAGCCAACTCCCAAATCCTGACGTGCACATTTCTTACACACGCCATCAACTTCCTACTCAGACATATTTACTTACAGAAATACATTCAATAAATTAAAATTATTAACAATTTTCGTATCACTTCTGTTGCGGACTGAACTGAAGAAAAATTAATAAATATAGTTTTTAAAATAAATAAATAACAAATTTAAGACTTTAAATAAGTTAAAATCATAGCCGCTAATTATAAACAATGCATTTGCTTATAATTAATATTATAAAGTGCAAATACATAGAACAGTAATAATTAATTTAATGTATTATATCAATTCAGTATTAATTAGATGAATTGCTACTTTGTATTCTGCTATTTGTTTAGAAACATGTTTAATTTTATGAAAAACATGAGGCCACCCAGACTAGTCTCTGCAGAACCACCCGTGTAGAGGCACTTCGGATTCGGCAACAATATTAAATTTACTTGAATATATATATTTATATCCTGAACCCATTAAAAATGGGTAAAAAGGGTATAATGTGTTTGTCCAAATGTATGTAATAGACGTAAGGAAACATCTCCGACCCCATAAAGTATATATATTCTTGATCAGCATCAATAGCCGAGTCGATTGAGCCATGTCCATCTGTCTGTCCGTATGTATGAACGTAAGGATATCAGAACCTGAAATATAGATATAGAACCTGATATAGAGCCTGAAATTTGAAGTGTATAGATCCTCCTAGTGCCCGCGCAGTACGATTTTGTTTCCGTTTGGCCTTGTTGCCAAGTAATCGATAAAAATCGATATCGAAATCCTGTTTTTTGAATAAATCTCGTAAGTTATGAGAACTAGTTACCAAACTTGACGTGTATGTATCGTGACATGTATCTTTCATTTTATAGCTATCACCACCTCCGTGCTACTACCTCATAGATATAAATCAAAAAAATAAACCAATTTATACTGCCCACCAATATAAGCCACAATTTTAATGCAATTGACTTTATGAGAATATACAAAAATTCTATAGCACAATAAGATCTACTGTAAAAAATTTAATCAATCGGTTAAGAAACACAGAAGCTAATAAAGAAAACAAAGAAACACCACAATTGCAGAAATCGCTTAAAGAGTAAATCGACATAGAAATACGATTTCCAACTTTCTCAAGAATGTCGATAAGTACGGTAATATTCTGCGCAGCGGCAGACCGACCCTTATTAATAAGGGTATTACGGGGAATTTCACGACATGCTAATGAAAGACCACATATGTGCCCGTTTGGCATTTGCCGAAAAATATAAATTTTGGACCCATGAATTCCAGAATGTCATTTTTTCGGACTAGAAAAAATTTGGATGGTCCAGACGGTTGCCATAAGTATTGGCGCGATTTAACGACAACCAAGTCAGGCTCGACATAAGCGGAACCATGTTGGCGGTTCACTAGTGATTTGGGCAGCTTTTGGATATGCTGGAAAGTCTTCGATTTGCGTCATACCGACAAGAACAAATGCGGACATATGTGTAGAACTCTTGGAGAATGAGCTAATTGAGTTTGCGGGTGACTTGTACGGAGATGACTGAATCTTTCAGCAAGACAACGCCCCAATTCACACTGCGCGCAAACTAGAGACTTTCTATCCGAAAGAAAAATGCCATTCTTGGAATGGCCATCGATCAGCCCGGATCTAAGCCCAATAGAAGACCTATGGGACTTTCCAACAAAGTTCACCAGAGTGGTCGGCAGTTGGATACCATAAAGCAACTAAAAGAAGCTTTACTGAAGGTGTGGGATCAAATAGACCCTTCAACTCTTAAACAACTTATCTATCAAGACTAAATAAAGTTATATTAGCAAAGGGTGAGCATATAAACTATTAAAAAATATACGAAAATAAAAAAGGATTAGTTTTCTTTAAAAGAAATTAAGAAACGGTCATATATGCTTATTCCCTAAGAAGTAATATTTGTTTTGTATGAACATATTATAAATATGAGTACAACAATATAAAAATAACGTTTGAAGAGTTCAATTTTTTTACATACTTTTTTTTTAATAAATTGTCTATGCACATATATGTACTTATTTCCCTGAGGTACATACGGACATGGCTAGATCGCCTCGACTATTGATGCTAACCGAGATATACTTTATAGGATCAGAAATTTTTATGGGATCAGGGAATAAAAAGTAGGTTTTGTAATGACACATACTAATTATATTTTGTTATCTACTGTACACCTTGTTAATTTACCGCATTTAGCTCTAGATTTAGTGTTACGTGAAGCTTAATGGGTACACTACTTCTACCTGCCAATTCAATTTAGTACGTGAGTGATTGAATCAACTTCATTTCCATTAACAATTAGATGGCTTATTTGGTTTTAATGAAGATTTCACAAGCATTTCGATTTGCATAACACCACGGTTAATTTCGCAAACTCGATTATTGTACTGCCATTTTCGACATCATTTTATCAATTGATCTTCATTGTCAACTGGTAACGCGTTTAACTTTATACAAGCAATGGATGATGGCAGCCAAATAATGGAATCTTAGTATTATTCTTCTCTCTCCTCTCTCTTCTATTAATCGCTACAGAATTTATAAATGTTTATTTTTATCCGTGATACCCTTTTGTTGTGTTCGGTCGGTCGAATTAAATATAAAATCAGGAATAGAATTTACTTTATTTAGATAAAAAGTTAATGTTATTGTCTAAGATAAATTTGAAGCTCCGCAAAGGATAGTGTTGGATCGTTATTTTCAAACATTTCGCTGTCATTGGGCATATATCCCTTAAATTTAGTACATTGTTTAATTTTTACATCTGACATTATAAGCGATTTCACCTTTTGATTTGATAACCCGAAAAATACTTCGCCCTTCGGTTTAAATTCGACTTGTAAAGATTCATTCGTAGACCCCTGTATACAATTAAGTAGTTCTTGATGACATTTGTTAGCAGTTTCTCCGAAGAGCACTCCATCTAAATCATTATCAGGAATCAATTGAAATTGAGGAACTCCAGCATTGTTAAGTATTTTACATGTGAATACACATTTTTTTCGTGGATCTCTGGGGTGTGCATATATTCTCGTTGCAACATATCCTACTGGATATATCCAATGCGACGTATGAAAATTGAGATTTGCTGGTACAATTTCACCAATGGAGTGTACGAGAACATTATTTAATTTTAAAGGGAAGGTTTTATCACGTAGTGTTGATATGTCAGAGAATTTATTTTGTGTTGTTTTTTCAATCATAACAGTCTGTTTTTGTGTGACATTTTTACTTGTATGATCGCGGCTTTCATGCAAATATTGATGTTGTCCGATTGCAGCCTTTTCTAGTCCTTCATAAAACATAAGTCTTTCAATTAAGGATAATCTTTCTGAACGCGCCGCAGACAACTCTTTTTGTAAAAGCCAAACTTCATCAACAATAGAAGCGTTTTCCTAAAATATATAAAAAAAAGTATACATTTATTTTTTATATTTATAATTACAAAACGTTAGTTACTATAAATCTCGGCTAAGACATTGTAGCACTAGCTAGGGATTTATGCCAGGAGTATTGATGTTCATACCACATCTTCAGAGGACTGTGGCTGTAAAATGAAATCAACTATATGATAAAAGCCGCAAAATAAATATCGCCAACCAAAACAAGTAAGAGGTTCTAGTCGGGAGCTCCCGACTAGGGGATACCCAGAACCTAAGACAATATAAGCACTAAGATTAGTAACGCAATACAACAAAATGCTATGCAGCTTGCTTTTTTGAAATTTGAGAACGAAAGCGAAATCAGTATCATTGCGCTCTTACAGCCGAAAGAGCGAAATTCTAAAAATAGAATGTACTCTCAGCTTCGGCTCTATGAGGGCCGTGCACGCAATTATGTTTGTATGTGTGTGAATATACAGGCACTAGCGGGTATAGCCCGGTCTTGCCCGTAGCACGTATGTTATAAAATCAATGTTCTCAAAAACATTTGAAATGATTTTGAAACTGATCGGACGGTAAACAAACAACTTTCATACAAACGTTTTCCGCCAATTTACCACTGTTGCGAGTGGAATTTCCCAAATCGTAATTTCCCAAATTCCCGTATTCATTATATTCTTATGTAGATCTTTGAAAATAAGTTTCAAGGGAAAAAAACTTCACCCAACAAATTTGTTTAATCGCATTTCTACCGAAGAAGTTTGGATTCTGCGAAAAGTGTGAAACACGTCTCAAATGATTTTTCTTATAGATATCTGGAAATTAATTGGAGCGCGAAACGTCACCCACCAAATCTTTGCCCACCATTTCCACCAAGGAGGAACGGATTTTTCGAAAAGTGTGAAACACCCCTCAAATGAATTTGAACAAAGATCTTTAAAAATGAGTTTGAGGCCGATCGTATGGTAAACAAAAAAGTTGCATACAAACGTTTTCCGCCAATTTACCACTGTTGCGGGTAGAATTTCCCAAATCGCTGAAATACGTTTCTATTAAGTTCTTATGTAGAGCTTTGAAAATAAGTTTGAAGCACATCGGACACAACTTAAAGCTTCGCCCAAAAAATCTTTAAATCGCATTCCCCCCGAAGAAGTTTGAATTCCGCGAAAAGTGTGAAACACGTCTCAAATGATTTTTCTTATAGATCTCTGGAAATGAATTTGAGGGCGAAACGTCACCCACCAAATCTTTGACCTCCATTTCCACCAAGGAGGAACGGATTTTTCGAAAAGTGTGAAACACCTTTCAAATGAATTTGAACAAAGATCTTTGAAAATAAGTTTGAGGCGGATCGGATCGTAAACAAAAAACTTTCATACAACCGTTTTCCGCCAATTTACCACTGTTGCGGATGGTCTTTCTCAAATCGCTGAAATACGTATTTATTAAGTTCTTATATAGAGCTTTGAAAATAAGTTTGACACAACTTAAAACTTCGCCCAAAAAATCTTTAAATCGCATTCCCCCCGAAGAAGTTTGAATTCCGCGAAAAGTGTGAAACACGTCTCAAATGAATTTTCATATAGATTATTGGAAATGAATTTGAGGGCGAAACGTCACCCACTAAATGTTTTACCAATATTTCTACCAAGGAGGGATGGATTTTTCGAAAAGTGTGAAACACCCCTCAAATGAATTTGAACAAAGATCTTTAAAAATGAGTTTGAGGCCGATCGGATGGTAAACAAAAAAGTTGCATACAAACGTTTTCCGCGATTTTTTCACACTTGCGGGTGGAATTTTCCGAAACTCCGTCTTAACGTGCAGCTACATTACATAAGTAATGTAAATTACAGTGAAAATTTCAGCTTCCTAGCTCTTACGGTTTGGGCTGTGCGTTGGTCACCAATCAATCAGTCAGTCAGTCAGGACAAACAGTTTTATATATAGAGATAACAGCATATTTGAATGAATGTGTTGTTATTTACAAATCTGGCTTAAGCTGGCAAATAAATACATTTTTTTTAGTTTTCTAGCGCTGATTTGTGTTCACATATCAATGCATGTTGTGTGAGGAGGTTGGCTCTGAAGAAAATCTGTTTTTTAAAGTCGATGCAAATATTGATATAATTTCTTTAAATTAAATGATTAATTATTTATTGTTATTTTTATTTTATTAAAAAATAAAAGAGTGCCAAAAAATACAAATAGTGTAAATTAAATACGTCGGTAGCTAGTTCTACCGGCGAAGAATAAAATAATTAAAACAAAAAAAAAAATTTATAAAATGAATCTTTAGAAACAGAAAATTTGTACTCTTATCTCATTTTTTTAATTTCTTCAAAATAATAATTTAATTTAAATAAATTATATCCATATTTGCATAGACTGAGTACACAACATGCATTCATATGTGAACACAAATTTGGGATAGGACATGCATGATCAGCGCTGGAAAACTAAGAAAATTTATTTTTTTGCCAGCCAAAGCCAGAGCAGTGAATAACAACACATATGTATATACATATTTTAATGTAGTTATGCATGCATAATTCACACATACAAACATAGGTGATTGCACGCCATTAGCTGAGACATGAACTTCGCTCGAGCATACACTGTCCAAAAGCAAAAGTGAAATCAATGCGATTTTCCTAACATAGTTATTGCACAAGATGCGCTCTGTGAAAAAATTATTTTATTCATATATGTTCCTGCAAAATTTATCATTAGTATCTAGGGTAATGTATCATTTAAATATAGCATGCATTTCTTGGATAAAGCAAAAGTACTATGCGTCGATCGTAAGTTTAAAACTTTTTCGCTCAATGTACTTCGAAAAAGAAGCGACGCAAAGCACCATCGACCAGCTTTGCTGAAGACAGGCTGGCGACTAACTTCGTTGCTCGTGTCAGCGCATCAGCAAGCCGCGACTTCGCCATTCGTTCGTCTGAACGAACAGCCGTC